CATCTCGTCAGTAACTGACGTGACGGGGGTACCCGGCGCGTCAAAATCGGACGTAGAGGGAACCTTGGAAAAGCGTCAATATGTGACGACATGGGAGTGAGAATGGGTTGGATGTTCACATCTTTGTTCCATCACTACAGTTAATAAAAAAAAAGTTTTTCTTTGCGAACTCTTCATCCAACACAACACTGATTGTTGAGTGAAAAAAAAAACAATATCTAGCCATCGCTATTGTTCTTTATATACTTATATGAGCTGTGGGAGGAATTATGATAATTTATACCCCACCGCATCTTCAGCCTGTTGATACTTGGTCAGGAAAAAGACGTCCAAAATGATGCAACACACTGTCTCATGTCATATTGAAGTATAACCCAAGCTTAGTTTGGTTTCCTGGTATGTAGGATGAGTTTGTCTGAGACATGATTTGTTTGATTTTTGTGAAAGGATCTTGGAAAAGACATGAATAGTCAGAAAGACTATTTTGGGTGGGGTTTGAAGAAGCTGAGATTTGGTTGGATGAGTGCCGGGCAGCTGGGGGGACATGTAACTCAGTCAAAATGACCAGAAAGAAGTTATATTTTATTTTAGTCATAACACTAGACAAGAAGGTGCTAATCGCACTAAATTTGAATTCAAATTTTTTCTTTACATGTGCAGAATAACTTTAAAATGACTATTTCTTCATGTTTTAAATTTCCTCACAAGTTAACCCAACCAATCATGGTTTTACCAAACCCTGCCCACACAGCAAAGAAACTCCACCTATGTACTGCAGAGACCCCTACTTGCATTAAAGACAAACGTTGCTCCGTCTCTGGTGCTCCTGTTTTTGAAACCCGTTGCTTCTTTTATTGATGTGCTATATAATAAACATTTGATCTACAGTAATTCAAGTTTTTTTTACATTAGTAACTCTTTTTAGACATACTTTTGTAATGACTTGTACAACAAAAAGTCTGAGGAGGCACTTGATAGCAGAAAGAGATGGCTCTTTTTAGTGAGCTGAGCCAAGAGAACTAACTCTCTAAAAAAGAGACGGAATTCCCATCATTGTATTTTATTATATTATGTACTGTATATCTTTATAAAGTCCTTTGATACACGTGATTTTTTTCAGCAGACTCTAGTTGTATGAGGGTATAATCCTAAAAATACTTGTTTTAACTTTTATATGTTTGTTTTGGGGCCAGCATGGTGACTCAGTTAGAGCTGTTGCCTCTCCTCAAGAAGGTTGTCGGATCGGATCCTGGCCGGGGACCTTTTTAATTTCCCTCTGGGATCAATAAAGCAAAAAAAATGTAGCGGAACCCCCCTATTAAAAACCATTAAATATGATTTTTAATAGGGGGGGTTCTGCTACAAAGTATTATTGAATTGATTTCTGAATACAGTTGGCATGTTCTCTCCGTGCATGTGTGGGTTTTCTCTGGGTCCTCCTGTTTCCTCCCACAGACCAAAAACATGACTGTTAGGCTAATTGTAAACTCTAAATTGTCCCTARGTGTGAGGGAAAGAGTGATTGGCTGTTTGTTTCATTTGTCTCTATGTGTCCTGTGATAGATTTGCAACCTGTCCAGGGTGTACCCGGCCCCTCACACAGTGATTGCTGGATATGGGCACCAGTGACCCTGAAAGGAAGAAGTGGGTAAAATATAAAGGATGGATGTTTGTTTGGTTATACAGTACCTAACAGATCAATGACTGGCTCYGGTACTGGTTCTGGCTCCGGTGGAGACGAGGCCTCTAGTACTGGAGGAGAAGTTGGAGCAGGAGCTGTAGTGGGAGCTGGAGATGAAAAYGTATCTGAACCAGAGGAAAAACACAAATCACTAACTGCCGCCTGTTAAAAGTCTAAGGAGATGTTGTCTGGTGGAGATGTTCTGCTCAAGCACACATGCAAGCAGAAGAAAGCAAGCATTCCTGCATCAAAACTGTGTATCCACCTCCTTGAGGCGTGCACCATGTAGAGGTCTGCATGTGCATGCAGACATCACTACCATGCCACAAAAACTTGTTGGGTTGCACACCTGATAGAGAAAGGAGTGGAAGACAGTGATGCAGTAAATGTAAAGCAGCAAAACTCACCCGTCACAATGTCTCCAACTGGAGTCGGCTCGGGCAACGGAGAGGGCCCGCGTGAAACAGCAGGAAGGTCTAAATTACCAGCGCAAGCAAAGAGGCAGGAAACGAGAAGGAAGAAAACCGTGGAGATTGAGCAGCAAAGAAAAACATTAGCGTGGCAGGTCAAAACATAAAGATTGAAGCCACAACAACAGTCCGGTGCTTGACGAGTGGGTTGCATGCACATTTCTCATACCACTATGAGGGGGGGACAAACCAAGACGTATGGGGATAAATTGTCGACAAAAGAGTGGACATATAGAAACCAGAGGAGACAGAGAGGCTCCACACACACAGAAATGGATTTCAACTCCTGTACCTGAACCAAAAAGGTCTACGCTAGGAGTGGTAGCAGCTTTGGATTCTGTGGTGGGGCTTTGCTCAGGCATAGAATCAAACATATCTAAGAACAAGGACAGACAACCACATGGACATTCAGATTTCAAGTCCGGTGCATTCAGAAGATGAGTTCAGAAAAGAGATGAAGGAGAGCAAAAAGAGAGCAGTTTGTTTCATAATAAATGGGTAAGCAGCTGCGTAACTCTTTGGTGCAATGCAAAAAGACAAAGTGCAAAAGTTAAAGGGGAATATTTCCAAACTTTGTTATGAAGACAAAGTCGACCACTTTTTGTGATATACTGTAGTTTTGGTTGCCAATTTGTGGTGTCACCAGTGAAGGTCTGGGTCTGTTTGTGTTTGCAAAGTTCTGACTGAAATGTTTTGAAGTTAGCAAAGCTAAGTTTTAAGCATTGGAATCTAACAAGGAAGGTCCTCAAAATCCGATGTTACTATTTGAAACAGAAAAAAAAATACAATGACCACATCAGTGTGTAACTTTATCTGAAACCTATTCTTACAATGTTGATTTTAGTATTAGTTCAATTTAGTTTAGCCTATTAGCCTGTACTCACTTAGCAACTAACAAATTTACAGGTATTTTGTCATAAATCAATTGGATCAATCCTACAGCTGGCTTTTCTAATGTATCTAAATAAATTTCCTGATGTGTCTCCGTAATCCAGGTATAAAAAATAAATAAATAAAAATAAGTAGGTCTTCTGGAGGGTTCTTCTTTAATGAAACATTTCATCTCTCCTACAAGAGACTTCTTCAGTCTGAGTTTCAGGTGAACTCAGCCTTATAAGCACTGCCTCCACATGGTGGACACATAGGTTGGTCACATGCAAAAGAGGACCATCAGCCAAATAATTCACAAAAATGGCTTCCTTTACTCCTCTCTCAAACCAACATTCCTCTCTATGGATGAGAACATCTTCATCCCTGAAAGAGTGACTGCTGGCCTGTAGATGAGTGTAAACTGCAGAGTTCTGGCCTGATGATGTTGCTTGTCTGTGCTGGCTCATTCTTTTGAACAGTGTTCAAAAGTGTAAGTTTAAGTGCAACATCACTGGAGGAGATCAGCTGGGACAAATTTTTTTCCTTTCTGAATCTTTCTCCAAATAGGCAGCCTGCATAACAAATTAGACTGATATTATTCACATTCAATGTGATTGTGTTTTCCTGTAAACAAACGAGAGACCTCACCTTTTCTGTTGCTACTTCTCAGACACCTCTGCTGCCCCCCCCCCCCCGCACTGTCCAGCAGAAATCTGTTTGCTCTGATTAGCTGATCATAYAGTATCAACTTTAACTAGCATTTTGTTACACTTACTTTTTAGTCAAACACTTGCTATTTTGACTAACATTTTGCTACTAGCTATTAGCTAGTTTTCACCACATTTAGCTTGTAGCTAGATATTTTTTACTTTTAGCTTTTAGTTAGACAACTGCTAATTTTAACAAGCATTATTCTAATTTGAGTTAGCTTTTTCTCTCCATTTAGTTAACATTTTGCATCCTTTAGCTAGTGTTTTGCAGTGATAGAAGCCTTTGTCACATTCACAGAATATGAGCTGAATGGCACAATCTAACTTACCCATGTTTTTTCTCTGGTTGAACAAGGAACTCACAAAAACTCAATTTGAGCATAAATTCTGAGCTTGAGCAATATTCCCTTTTAACTAAAGTGCATAGGCTACAATAAGGCATTCTCAATAAAAAGTATCAATAACACTATAACCATCAGCAGAAGAAAACAGTTTTTTCCCTATAAGTTTTGGTAGTTTGTTAGTATTTGGTCAATAATCAAACAAGTTGAGCCACCTCTGTTGTTAAGAAGAGATGAATATTCATTTATGCCCCTTATGAGATCAAATACACAGAACTGTTTGCATTCAAATGTAAAACATCAACAACAGTTTTTAGGATTTTTTTTCCAGATTTTTGGCTGTTGAAGAGGCGGTCAAAATGCTTGATTAACTCTAAGTGAGGAGCAGAGGAATTATGGAAAATAGAAAAGCAAATCTGTAATGTAGGGACTTGTTGAGTAATTACTGTTCGYATCATTATCATTAGTAGGAAGAGCAACACAATTAGGATTAATCAAAATCTTCATTATCATTTTAATTGTCAAAATGCGAGTTAGAGGCATAATGAGGACTTTACCACCAAAGATATCTAGAGTCGGGGCAGCTGCAGACTCTATGGTGGTGGCGTCGGTGGTGGTTGTGGTAGTAGTAGTGGTGGAAGGAGGGGCAGGGGCAGCAGGAGCAGCGATGGAAGCGATGGTGGTCGGCGCTTCGCTAGAGGTGGAAGGAGTGATGGTGGTATTGGCCTCTGTCTTGGCAGGCCTCATTGCGAACAGGTCCAGCTCTGGAGCAATGTCTGCACTTCCCTCAGTCGTAGCGAAGGGGTCTTCAGGTAGAGCAGCAGGAGATGGTGTTCAGAGGTTAGGGGGGTGAGGTTATGATTAGAAAAGAGGGAAAGGAGGTATTGAGGCATGGGTAAGACAAAAAACACTGAAAAGTATTTTTCTGAAGCCAAATGTCTCTGAAGCTCTAAAACAGAAAGCAAACAAAACTCTAAATCCTTTATTAACTTCAGTGCTGCACCCAACAGGTTAGCACAAACTGTGGGGAGGAACTTTTACTGCTCAACTTCAATCTGTCTGTCTGAGTTTTCTTTCTTTCTTTCTTTCTTTCTTTCTTTCTTTCT